CAATCCAGAGCCGCGGGCTGCGAGGCTGCGGCCGATACACCAATTAAATTCAAAGTGGACGAATAAGTTGGCGCAAGTCGGGCAAGTCGGGGAGACGCTCCACTCCGTTTGATGTTGTGGCTCGCTGGGTGTGGCCGAAATCAAGCAACTCGGAGCGCGGAGCGGCGCGGAGCGAGGAAAAAGAGTCGAGAAGGATTTAATTGTAGCGATAGGGATTGTGAAGAAGAAAGAGGAGGTGGCGCATGTCTTCATGGGTCGGCAAAGGAAGACGCGAGTCGTTAATATTCTTCCAGTGGCTGTAGACGAGGCCACGCTGATTTTCGCCTCCTCTCGATCGAACTGAAGTGAGGCGCTGCCGCCGAGGGGAATAGCAAAGGAGCTCCTCTTCTGGGCCCCGAGAGGCAGGTAGGCCAGAGCTGGCCAAAGCTGGACGGAAGGACGGAAGCCGACGAGAGGGAGACCTAATAATGCTCAAATAATTAATGTGCTGCATTTTTTCCCAAGCGCGAGCGGTTAGCCTCGGCCAAGGCGGCCAACCAGACGAATGCAGATTCAGGCTGTGTTGGTTCCCTGCAGCAGCCTCAGACATGAACGTTTTGCGTCGCTGGTGAACAGAGGTAGTTATTCGTGACCGGCTTCTCAGTCGCCTTTTTTCAGGAACGTTCCGCGTCACGTAGTTCGTGCATAAGGCCCCTTAAAATTCATCCCCCTCTGCCAGGCGTCACTCCGACGAGTGGCAACTAATTAAAATGCAACCCGATTGATTCTTTCGGGAATTAATTAGAAATAAGGCCGCAGCAGCGCGCGAAATCCCGCCCCGACTTTTACCGGATTAATAAAACAAAATAATCAATCAAGAAGACACAACTAGAGCAGCCCGGCTGCGGTGGCACGGCGGAGGGCAAGGGGGGGGGGGGGGGTCCTTTTCAGCAGGGAAGTGTATCAGGGAGGGGAAGCACAGTGAGTCAGAAGACCGGCGGAGGCGGCCGAAACTCTCGGCGCGTTTTGAGCTCGACAGTCGCTAAATGGGACTCTAACAGAACGTGTGACCCGGCCAATGGATTCCTCGTTCGGAGAGCAATACATTGGTGGGGTCACACGTTCGGTTCGAATCCCATTTAGCGACTCTGGGGCTTAAAACGCGTCCGGGATTTCGACCGCCTCCACCGGTCTTCTGGCCCACTGTAGAGGGTTTTCCTTTTCGTAGTGTATAAGGGGAGGGGAATCATCGCCCGGATCGGAAACGCCGCGACCGAAAAAGACGCGAAGGGCCTCGCGGATTTTAATTGCAAATACCGTCCGCGGGAGGCGCTGGCGGCGCTGGCGGCGCTCTCGGGATTTCAAGCAGTCGGACCGGCAAGGGCTTTCGGCTTTCGCGTTCCGGCATTCCGGATTCCGAAACATCGGCCAATTATTTCACCTCTCTGTCGGACTCATTTGCACCCGAATGGCCGGCGAGGCAACCAAGGGCACGGAAGCCGCGGTGCCCAGCCGCGGTGCTTCCGAGGATGGTCCACTGGGTTCACCGTGATGGCGGCCTCGTGCTCCGTAGGGCCGAATGCGCACCTGCGGTCATCGACAACAAGTTGCAAAACAAACGCTCACAATTTTTTGTTCCAAATTTCGGGTAACTTGCAGCGTATCCCTGCAGTGCAGTTCATCCCCGACGGCACGTCTCGGACACAATCTTCACAGTCACCGCATCGACTCACCGTATTCACATTCAGATTGGCGCCTCGCAAGGTCCAGGCCGTCGTCGCCGCATCGTATTCATATTGGGATTCGTTGTTGTCGTCCTGGATGGGGTAGTGCTTTGCCTGGTAGTGCAGCGATAGCGTGTTACGCCCTCAGCGTCCCGCCCGGCGCACCGGCCACCGCTCCGTTCAGCTTTGCATATAGAGAGTGCGCGGCAAGCACGGACGGCGACGCACGCCGTGCCACGCCACGCCACGCCACGCCACGGCGGGCACCATTTTCTGTCCCGCGCCGCACGCGAGTGCGCCTCCCTGTGTGGCTGTACTTTATTTTCCTTGGCCTTCCCTGGATGACGACATGGGAACGTTCGGGCGTAAGTGATTTTATTTTTATTCCGCAGGTCATACACCGGCGACAGTGCTCTGCCTCTCTCGACGGAGCTCCTATCGAACGGTACATGCTCTCCGTTTGAAACGCGGAGGGACCTCTGCTTCGAGACAGCCGTGCGGTCACCAGCGGAGATACACTACTAAATTGCTCATCCACTTGTTTTTTGAGAGTAGGAAATGGTGATCGCCGACGGTGGGGATCCCATCCAGTAATTCACCCTCGTTGCATTCTTTTACGACTGCCGACCCCCGCGACGCGTCGCCGCCGTGTCGTGGCTCCTGCCCAAATGGACAGTGGCCACCGCGCGCCACCGCGACGACGGAGATGGCTTTGGCCGCGACTTCGGCCCCGCGTCTGCCTGGCTCGCCGTCGCGGTTCCCTGCCCCTACTCATGTGTGTGTGTGTGTGGTGTGTGTGTGGTGTGTGTGTGTGTGTGTGTGTGTGTGTGTGTGTGTGTGTGTGTGTGTGTGTGAGTGAGTGGCCGTGTGCGTGACGCGAGGAACGCGACTGAGGGCACGGCCGGCACGGCCTTGGCGCTGCGTCGCGGCGACGCCAACCTCACCTGCATGCGCCAGCCCGGCGGCGGCGGCCTGGCGGGCATGGCCCCCTTCCCACGGCCGGATCGCGGGAGCGACGCGCCGCCGGGCCGCGCGGATCCTCCAAAACAAGAGAGGAAACGGACGCATCCTCGGGGTCCTTGGGGACGACGGCGAGCTGGCTGGCGGCAGGAAGAGCCAGGCGGCCAGGAGGTCGCCGTCGTCGTCGTTTGGCGCGCGGCCCGTTCGTGCAGCCCTTGCTCGCTCTCATCGAGAGTGATTGTCCCAGGCCCGCGCAGCCCTGCAGGGCGACGCTGCGGAAAACGCCGCGCGCTGTCCCTCTCGCACCCCAAGGGGGCGCGCCGTGAGTGCGAGGGAGACAGCGCGACGAAAGCAGCGACGCCTCGCAACCAGCCGGGCGGCGACGGAAGCGCCGTGAAAGCAATTAAGATTACTTAGCGACGGCCGTTGCACGCGCGACAGGCCGGCAGGCTGGGCTGCCCCCCGCAGGCTTCACAGTTTTCAATCTGATAGAAGAAACTACTTTGGTATATGGCGCGGCCGGCAGCTAGCCGAGCCGCCAGGCCTGCGCTCATATTTCGCGAGAAATTACCGAAGTGCATTTGCATTTCGTGATACGATTAGAGGGCGGTGCTGGCGCTGCGCGACTGTACAACCCGCAGCGCGTCGGGCCGGGTCGGGTCGGGTCGGGTCGCCCGCCGAACCGTCCAGCCGAGCGCTTCGCTCTGTCTCTGTCACCTCCACAGGAAGCCCCCCGCGAGCGAGAGAGACAGCGGGACAAAACGGGGCCTCGGAATCAGGGGCTGCGTTCGGAGGGGCCACTGTAAAAACGGGGTTGGGGGCGATAAATTGCCACCGGCAACGCAATAAGGGGCACTGACCCGAGCCGAGCCGAGCCGGGCCGAGCCGAGCCGAGCCGAGACAGAAGCAAACATATCCCATATCCCTATGAAACCCCACTCAGCCCCAGGGGGAATGCCCAGCTCCCTGGAGGAGGCCCGGCTCCTGGTTCTCCACGCATGGGCTGCGTCCTGCCTGTGCCCCGCCTGTGCCCCGCCTGCCCCCTGCTTTTGTTTTTATGCGTCTGGGGACGGAGATTGGGTCGGGCAGCCGCAGCAGCAGTCACCGCCCACCGAGACAGAAAAACCGTAATACCACCCAGTGTACACGGTGGCTTATTTTGGCGGCACGGTCCAATCGTCTCGTGTGGTGGCTGCTCGGCTGTAGCGCCTTTAGGCTGCTTTAGGCGAGCCTCTTTGGCCGGGGAACGCTGCCCGCGACGGAAGGAAGCGCCGCTGCTTTTTAGGAAGTCAACAGGGGCCAGCCAGCCAGCCAACCACAGAGCGCGCGCCTCGCATAATTGTTGTCGGGATGTAAACATCACGACACCTCCCGGCCGCACCGCGCCGGCCGAGCCGCGGCCGTGCCCTTCCTGACTCCCATCATAAGGAAGGACGGACGGACGGACACGCTCGTTAGATGCAGCGTCTCTGCAGTATTCAGAGGATTTTCCTGGGAACCAAATTAAAATAAATCTCCCGTGTTTTGCTTTTCAGGAATACACCTTTATGACGGATGAGCGCGTCAGTGTGGCCGTGTGTGAGTCGGAGAGAGAGAGAGAGAGAGAGAGAGAGAGAGAGAGAGAGAGAGAGAGAGAGAGTCCGTGCAACGCTGTGACGGTCACCTCGCTGGCTGCTGGCGGTCCTTCATGAGCTTCTGGCAACTAAGTGACAGTGGCCTCTGTCTTTTTGTGTGCCTGGACGTCTGCCTGGCGCACACATACAAACACACACACACGCGCACGCACGCACACAGGCACACTGACACACAAATCCAGACGATGCCACTCACACATAATACGTTGCCCTTCTTGCGTAAAGTTTAAACCAAAAATGTGTGTGTGTTTTTTACTGTTTTATTTAGTCCACGGTCTCCTTTTTTGCACCATTATAGTCTGAAAGGACACTAAACGACCCTTGGGGCACGAGATAATTTTTTCTGGTCCACATCTGCATATGTGTGCTGTACCGCCTGATGAAAACAACAGTAATTTCCACCAAGCCAGTGTGCCTCCACCATGCAGAGGGCTTCCCTTTCAGTGTCTGCGAGAGATGCCGCCTTGGCCAGCCGGCCGCGGCGGAGAGGGAGAGAGAGGAAGAGAGGGAGGGGGGAGTTCTCCGTACCCATCCCCATCTTCCGGACCACCTTGAGTGCACCCCCACTAAAGCAGGCAGCTAGTGGCTCCCTGTGTGTGTGTGAGTGTGATTGTGTCTGTGTGCGGTCCGAGCGAGTGTGGGAGTGGGGTCCTGATCCTATATAAGCCTCCGGCCGCGGTGACGGAGGGCATGTTGTGCTTTTTCGTCTCTTGCAGCGGGACTAAACCTCAACCAGCCGTCGCCATGATTTGCAAGCTCGTGAGTGTCAAAGTTATCAGCCCGCTGTTGCGAGTGAACGTGCGTTGTGCATGACCGGAGTGTTCGCTGCCGCGGGGTGGTTTCGCTCGGAAACGTCACTGTGGCCGAAAAGAGACGACCACTTCGTCGTCTTACCCAAACACTGCGGTGACTTTGATTGAATTGTTGTTGTGGTGCATCGTGTGTGTTGTGATGAGAGCGCGGGTCGCGGACTCAATCTCGAGCGAAGTAGAGAGAGGACAGGTCGGGTTACGGGGCCGGACCGGTGGGCGTAGCCCTTGCGTGGCCCCAGAGGGACCTGGAGGGCTCAGCTAAGGGCCGCGGGGGGATCTCTTTTGATGGCCAGCCTCGGCCAGGCAGGGCTGCCACCAGTACTTGAGGCTTCGGCAATCAAGGACAACGGCCCTCGACCAATCAGTTTCCATCGTTTTCTGCGATCGTTTCGCTTCCCCGGAGACTCTCGTGATTCCGCGTCCGGATGGGATATCTTGCCCTTGACTCGGAGCGGGGGAAATCTGGCGCTCCCCCTCCGTGTGTTCCGCCCCACTCGACTAATGGTTTGATTGCCCCGCCCATTGACAGGCCGTCCTCCTGTGCGTGGTGGCCGCCGCCTCCGCCGGCTACATCGGCAGCCCCTACTACAGCTCCTACTCGCTCAGCGCCTCGCCGTACGCCTACTCGTCCTACTACTCGCCCTACGCCTACTCGGCCTACTCGTCCGCCTACTCGCCCTACGCCTACAGCGGCCTGGGCTACAGCAGCCTGGGCTACGGCACCTACGGCAGCTACGGCTACCCCGGCAGCTACCTGTACCGATGAGAGGACAACGTAAGTGTGACTGTCACCGTTTCTTCTTTTGTTCCTGGTAGGACCGACGTCCTTCTTTCGTTGCCAAAAACACAAAAAACAGCACAATTCTGAGAAATAGCAAGCGGTTCCGGCTCAATCTAGACTAACGTAGCCTTTCGTGACCACCAGATAAATCGTGGTAATTGCTCGTCAAAACTTTGACGCTGTATCACTCAAACCTGTGCGGACTCTCGGAGTAAACTTACGCCAGCGGACTCCGGGAGGTCCACTGTAGTGCCGGTGCCTCCCGCTGCGCGGCGCTGCGTCCGCCTGCGAGGCAGGCAGCCCAGCCGCCTCGTCCGCGCCGCGGGACAGCGTGCCGACGGATGACAGGCGCTCCGTCATTGCAAAGCAGCAAGCCAGCCCACAGTGGGCCAGGAGACCGGTGGAGGCGGCCAAAAGTAATGCTCGCGTCGATAGTTGCGAATTTGTCTGGCCGATGTCAGCGCGGCATAAACACACATTAGGGCAGGCTCTGCCTCGCTCGCAAACCTGCGGGTCACCCCGCGAGTGCGAGAGAGACGGAGCGTCGCGTTTTGTGAAGGGGCGCCCGGCAGGGGGTGGACTGCTGCTGAAGGATTTATGGTTGGGAGTCGGAATCGAGGCGGGGGGGGGGGGGCTTGCAGTGCAGGTTGCCGCGGGCTGCATTGCGGTTCGCCGCGGTTCGGCGGCCTAATTCCGTAATTCGAGCCAGGCCTGACGAGCCGGCAGTGTCAAAGCGAATGTCCCGGAAGTGATCTGTGTTCGATGCACCTCAACGTGCAATCACAGCGCCCCGGCCTGCATTCGATGCAACAGTCTCTTCCCGTCATGCATAGCGAGAGTGACGGAGACGGACGACATCCTGGCTAACAGCACCCCTTTTCTTTTCCAGATTGGACGTCCCTGTCTCCGTGGGACGACACGCCGCCGCCGCCACCGCCGCGGATCTAACTGACAAATCAGAAAACTGTCCGGAATAAAACCCTTGCCTTTTCCTCTTATCACTTTGTCCATATTTCACCGTGCGAATCCCCCGTCCCACACACAGCCCCGCTTCTACAAATCACGCCCCATATTTCAACTCGACGATAAATATCACTTCAGCCGGGCGTGGCAAAAACCTGGTATCGCTGTCGCGTGTGCCCGATCCACTGGCTCCAATTATCACACTTATTTCTTCAACTGCTTGAAATTCTTTACTGGCGATGTCAACTATCAACACCGCCCACACTCGAAATGTTGTATAGTGAAGCTTCTCCATAATATAGTGAAAATGTTCCATATTATTATTGAGAATTCACTGTACCTTATGGATATTTTGACGAATTTTGTTGGTATTATGGAGAAAATCTCCGCCATAATATGTTAGTGCAACCTTTCACCAAAAGAAATTTACAGTGCACATTTTTGGGGCCACATTCCTTGTTTCGGCGCGCTTTGAGAAACGGCAGCTGTGACTACGTCGGACTACGTGCACGTAGCAGTTCCTCTTTGCTCCACGTCGCGTGTCGCGTCCGGCAACTTCAAGGGGTGCGAGTTCGGAATCCGGCGACGGCTCAGAAACTCGCTGGAGCCGAGCGCGCCGAGCGCGCCGAGCGCGTCGGGCGGCACCGGAGACGGAAAACGCGCAGAGAACGTCAGGCAGGCCATGCTGCAGTACACTAGTTCATCTCCCCGGGGCGGACCGCGGCCGGATCCGCCACAGTTAGTGAACAATGATGATGTCCCCGCTTCCAACTTTCCTTGAGCTGCTGCTGGAGGCCGTCCTGGAACAGGCCGTCCCTGGAAAAGACCTCCCTGGAACCTGCAGACGCTCTGGAGACTAGTCTGGAATCCCAGACGCTCCCTTCGAGGCAGCACATTTTAAGGCGTGCACCCCGCTCCACCGCGCCCTGTCCCGCCCCGCCCCGCCCCGCCCCGCCTCACCCCGCCCCCTGGAATGCCGGTTATTTCCAATTTGGACGATCGGCCGACCGACGTCCACATTCGGCTATGTCCGAACCAAGTCGGGCGTTTCATTATTTTCCCCAGAATTTCGATTCGATATTTTTTTTTCGCTGGGGACTACGGGTCTTGCATGCGTCGGGACGGGGCGGTGGCGGTGGGTGGATCCAGCAGCGAGTTTATAAGTAATAAAACAATATAAAAAGAGACACGACAGTGACACGCAAAACAGACTGAAATTGTATTGTCTGCCGTTTCGCGTGTCAGGCAGTGTCATGCGAGCGGGGATGGGGCGGCCGGGCGGTGCATGGCGCTGGAGCAGGAATTTCATCATCTTCGGCTGGAGGGCCTGGAGGACCTGCTCCAGAGCGACACGACTACGCGACACATGGCGGACAACCCGCGTGGAATGAAGCCGCCCTCTTTCGAGCTTTCAAGCGGCGCTGCCTCAAATGGCAGTGGCGTGCCGGCGTGCCCTGGGCCGGGCCTGGGCGCCCCCTTAGCGTGTCGTGGCTGCGCTGCCGCGCCCCTTTCACAGGCCGGGCTGCCGTTTGCGGAATAGTGCGGCGGGCTGCAGTGGCGCGGAAAGAGAGAGACCCGCGACACGCAGAACGCACAGAATGCTGGGCCAAGAGAGCAGGGCTCTGTAAACCACCTCCGGGCCGACACACCGCATTTTGTCAACTGCGCGTTGAAGAGGTGTCTCTTGGTGTTGCCTTCGTTGGCGGCTCTCACCCACACAGTCACACACTCCGCTGCGCGCGGGAAATACACAAATGGGAAAGGAGAAGGAAATAAAACGGGTTCCGAGAACCGTTCTTGGAACGCAGAGTAAACTTCTCTTTGTTAGGGGTGTACCTGTGAAGGCGATAATTGATAACCAAACCCTCGGTTCTGTCGGCTGCGCAATGTTGGCGGGGCACCGATGCTGTGAGGGCCCGGAGCGTCCCGGGCAGAGGCTGGGGCTGCACTCTCAGTGCTCGAGTCGGTAAGTACGAGCGACAGCGCGTCTCTCTCCCACTCTCTCTCTACCTCTGTCCGCCCGTCTCTCCTCCCCATTGTGTGCCCCCTGCCCGCCATGCCCCAGGCCTTGCAGGCCCTGGCTGCGTAATGGCAGCCCCTACCTTGAGACTGACAACGCCGCGTGCCCCAGTGCCCCACAGACTGTCTCTCTCGCACTCGTGGGGCGTCCCGGGCGGGTGCGAGAGAGACAGACGCTGTTCGGAGCCAGTCCACCGGCGGCGCACCGGCCCAACTAGCGTGCCCCACCGGGATGCGGCAGAGAGCGAGAGAGAGAGACAGACACAGCGTACCCGGAGCACAGAGGCGCAGTCACAGACAAACGCCTCGCGGTCGCCGAAAAGCCAAAATGCACGACTGCTTTACTTTCAACGACGCGGCGAGGGAGACGCGCACCACTGCGTCTATGGTTTTCAAAGAAACGGCCTCTGAGACCGTTTATTTAATTTCACCTCTGAAACTCGGGCAAACAGGAGAATCTAGAAAGTAGTGCCTGCAGCCTTTTCGTCCTGACATTTTAATGGCGAAATTTAAACTGTTTGAGCTGACGGTTCGCACTGAATAAAAATAATGCGGGTTTAAGCTTCAAAATAGATAAGGGTTAGGGTTCAAATTTTAAAAGGAAACAAGGGACACGCAAGTGCGCTTGAGGCAAACAACTTTGATTTAATCGACGGCTTGGTGTTGACGGACGTCACGCCGCCGCCTCGGTGGAGGCCCCCGTGGTCCCAGTGGCGTTTGTGGCCGTGGTGGTGATCTCGATGTCCATGGCGACGCGCAGCCCCTTCGCGGTGCGCGACGCCATGCTGGCCACGGCGCTGCCCGCCGCCTCGGCCCCGTTCATCATGGTCACCTTGACGGCGCGCAACGTCTGCCCCAGTGCCGACCAGATCCCCGTGCGCTCCGCGATGTCGTCCGGGTCCAGTGGCACCACGGCGTCGGCGTCCGCCAGCGCGTCCGCCGCGGCCACTGCGTCAGAGGCGGCAAAGTGAGCGAGGCGGGTACATCGGCCAGGGCGTCGAGCGCGTCGAGTCACCGGGACAGGTCCGCGTCGTCGTCCTCCTTACCCGCGCCATGGCCACCGGGGCCTGACGGCGGAAGCGACGTCTTCCCTTGCGCTGGCGCGGTGGAGGCCTTCGCGGCCTTGTTCGAAGGCGTCTTCGTGGCCATCGGGGACGTTGAGCCTTTGCTGCCCTGGCCACTGCCTTGGCCTCTCGCCAGCTCCACGCGGCAGCCCGCACCAGTGCGATAGGGTGTGATGTGCACGCCCATCCCGCCGTGCTTGGCGTGGGCCTTGTCGTCGGCGTCCTGGTGACTGGCGTCGTCGTCCGCCCGGACGTGCACGTGGCAGCCACCGGACGGCTGCGGCAGCACGGCGAGGTGCATGGTGAACGCCACCCTGGACGACGGCCTGGACGACGGCCAGTACTGCGGCCTGGTCCACCACCTGGACGTGGTGGCCTTGCCCTCCAGCGCGGTGCCGGCCTCGGACTTGACGTCCACGTTGCAGCCGCCCGGGCTGGCGACCACTCTCACGTCCACGGCTCTCGTTCTGAGGCTCCTGGCCTTCATGTCCTCATGGCCGTCCTCGGCGGCGGTGACGGACTTGACGGAGATCTCGCAGCCAGAGGCCTCCGCCACCACCCTCACGTTCATGACCGCCGCTGGCCGCGGAACGAGTTTCCTAGCCGCGGTCTCCTCAGCGGCCTCCTCGGACTTCATCTGCACCTGGCATACCTCAACCAGCTTGGCCTTGGCCGAGACCACGTCAGCCGCTTGTTCGCCCTCGGGTTCCTCTACCATCGTCTGACAGCCGCCGGCCGTGCTGGCCACCACCGTGCGCTTCACCGTAGTGCTCGACGCGGGCTTCGTGCTGGTGCCGATGGACGTCGTAGCCGCGGAGGTCGGCCCGGCAGTTGACTTTGTCACTCCAGCTTTGACGTCCTCCTCGTCCGCGCTAGACACTACCTTGTGCATTGCGGTAGTGCTCTTGGGATGTTTCGTGCTGGTCTCCGTCGAGCTCGCACCCGTCGTCGTCTTGGACACACCCGCCTTCACATCCTCCTCGTCCACTGTAGTCACCACCTTGTGCTTCGCGGTGGTGACCGCCGAGTGCTTCGCGCTGCTCGCCGTCGACGTCGTGCCCGTCGACTTGGTGGCGGCAGCCTTGGCGTCCTCGTCGTCCGCGGCGCTGGTGACCAGAGCGAGAGGTGTGGGCCTCCGGGTGTTGATGCCGGGGCCTCTAGCGTCGTCTGCTTTGTCCGCACTCCCAGGCGGCTCCAAAACAATCACATTGGACGAGGCGTGGTTCATGATGAGCAGATATCCAATGTCCTTGGTCGAACTTGTTGCCGTGGTCGTCTCTCCGGTCTTGGTCGTAGTTGTGGACGTGATGCCGCCGGCACTCGTGGTGCTTGAGCCGGCCCTCGTGCTGGTAGCTGCCGTTGAGCTGGTAGCTGTGGCACTGGTGGTAACCGCGGTGGCCGCCGCCGTCGGCGTGGTGGTCGGTGCGCCCTTGGAGGGCGTCGTGGAGCCCTTGGTCGAGGACCGGCTGCAGCCCCGGTTGTTCCCGCAGTTCTCGAAGCCCCCGCCAATGACCACGCCCCCGTTGTAGTTGTTGTTATTGTTGATGTTGATGACGAGGTTGGGCTTGCTGTGCTGGTTAAGCACCAGCAGCAGGCTCTTGTTGGCGGCCGTCATCGCCGTGGTGCTGCTCGTCGCCCCGGTTGATCCAGGCTTGGTGGCCGCGGGCCGAGACAGCCCTTGAGGCAGCCCGGACACGGGGTACATCTAGGTGGCGGCGAGCAAACAATCAAAATGACAAGCACTCGAATTTTGAAAGCTTTCTCAGTTTGAACCGCACGGCGACTCTCCGTACCTGCAGCAGCAACCCCAGCACGGCCGCGGTGGCTGCGGTCATGGCCACCTTGGTGGGCTGCAGGCCGCGCGCTGCGTCGCGGCAGTCAAGGGCATGCCCGCTGTCCAGTGGAGGGCGGCAGGCGTGGCCTCCGCATGACGGCGAGTCTGTGTGGCGGCAGCGTCGCGCGCGCCGCCCCGCCCCGCCGGCAGCGCAGGCAGCGGTCGCCACGTTGGTGGCCGCGTGGGCCGTGGGCCGGGCCGGGGCCGCCGCGTCGACGGAGTGGCGGCGACTGGGCCGGGCCTTGCCGTCGAGGCCTTGCCGTCGAGGCCTTGCCGTCGAGGCCGCGCCGCCGCGCCGCGATAGCGTGGGCTGGCCAAGAAAACGGGCGCGGATTCGCTGCCAGGGCGTTCCGTCGCTTTTAATTCTCAGCAGTGAAAGGGAAAGTAAGAGCCCTTTCAATCAGAGACTGCGAGTGCGGGTCCCCGTGTTCCTCTAAATAACCAACACCCCGCGGCCCGCGACGCCCTGCTGACGCCCACGCCGGCTGTCATTGTCGTTCTTATTTTCCTCCAGTTTGCAAACTTTGCCGCGCGCCAGTACCAACTTTTCAATCAAATGCCCGGCCGGCCAGGCGGGCCAGGCGGCCCGGGGAATTCTTTATCGGCGGCCAGACTTTACCTTGCTCCTTGCGAGGGCCGCCGGCCGCCGGGCTAACCTCACCAATATTGCCTTCGCGGAGAGATTGCGCGCAGCAGCCAGTCGCGGCGCAGCCAACTTTGGATGGAAAACACCGCGCCGCCGCGCGCTGACTGTCGAAGATCGCCGGTGGAGGCGTTTGCCTTTCCCTGTTATTTTTGCGCATTATTGCCAACTTCCGAGTGACGCAAGTGTTGAGGGTTGCATTGTGAGTGTTTTGCGTGACCCCACCCCGCGCATCCCCCCAAAAAAGAAAGACGAACTATGTTTCAATCCAACAAGGTAATTTTGTCATGTAAAAATGTCCACATTTTCGAGACAAAAACAAAACCCCCTACTTTAATCTCCAGACGTCAAAGGGTTCCATTATACAAAACGTGATAAACGCGCCCCCCCCTGGCGGAGGAGGGGCAGTCCTGGCAAGCCGGCACGCCCTGGGCAATCACTGAGTTAAGCGAGGGCGAGGCGAGCAGGCCCTGTAGGCCGTGCCGGTGGACGGCGGGGTGGTGGGTGGGGTGGACGGCGGGGCGGACGGCGGGGTGGGTGGTTCGCGAGCGGACACCCCGTCACCCGCGGGCTGGCTGGGCTGGAGCACTGTGGGTCCCGGCTGGTGGGCCCGGGGGCTCGCAGCGGACTCGCCCGTAATTCTACACTATCATATGTGTCACGCACGACCGCTTTGCGCGCGACCCGGCGCGGTCACGCGCACGCCAAGCAGTGGATAGGCCGGCCGTGCAGCGCCTGGCAGTGCCGTGCACGCACGGCCGTGGCGGTAAACTTTCACGGGGTTTCCCTTTTTTACGCGCGCGTTGCTGTAAGGCGCTGCGCGGGGCGTGGAGCACGGCGCGAGGGGCCTCGGTGCTAGCTGCGGCTTCCGCTCGCTCCGACCCGCCCAGCAGGTAGGCCGCCCATCTCTCGGCCCCGACTCAAACTTGGCGGCGCGGGACCAGACATCATCTTGGCAGTCCGTGAGTGCTAGATTATCCTTCCACGTTTGCCGAGCTAACTTGGCCGGGGGAAACAGTGCGAGCACGTGGCAGCTGACATCACAGTCGCGCCCCGCCCCGCGGGGAGACACAACTTTGCGTGCGTCGTTGGGACTGCTAATCTGCGCGCGAGGTGCACGCCGCCGCCAAATCGGCGGGGCAGCACGGCAACACCCCTGGCTGGCGGGGCCGGGCTAGCTCGATCAACCGCTGCTATGGAGGGAATGATGATCGAATTGCAGAACATTGTGCACGCGCGCGTTTTTGCGACACCATGCACACACGACGTGTACGGAAAAACAACTCGTCCAGGGCTGTTTGTCTTCTTCTTCTGCTGCATCTTCTTCTTCTTCTCCTCCGGTCGCGAGGCTGGGCTGTACTTACGAAAATGGCCCGTCGTTTCTGTGCCAGGTAAGTGTCCATCGGGCGAAGTGTCCATTCTGCAAAGTGTCCGGCGAGGCCGGCGTGCTGCCCCCGTGCAGGTTGCATCCCAGAGGCGCATGGCATGCAGATGGCCGCGCCATTTCCCTCCAAAGCGCCACCGCCGCCGGCGCGTCCCTGTCGCGTCCGTCCCGTCCATCCTCTCCACCCTGTCCAGCCTGTCCCTCCTGTCCATCTGCAGGTGGACTTTCGGCTCGTGCTAAGCAGCAGCGCAGGCGTCAAAACGGCCAGCCGCCTCTCCGAGCGAAGAGGCCGCCGCAGCGAGGTGCCCCCTCCCCCTTCCCCCGGTTGCCTTGCCACAGCCCGACGGAGGCAAATATTAGCGCACCGTATTTGTTGAATTTGAAAGCAAGCGGCGTGTGGGTGGCGGGGCTGGCGAGCGGTCCGTCTCGACGGAGGGCGGACTCTCGGCCCCGGAAGATTCTGGCTGACCCAACGAATTATTTAGCCTCCAAGAAAAGGATTGGCATTTTGCTCACATCCGACTTAATGTGTAAACTAGCCATGTTGATAGGTCAACTGATTCGCCCTGACTAAACAGTCCGATACAGCTTGGCGCGAGACGTGGCTTGTAAAACCGATTAAAGGGCCATTTATCCGCCTTCCTTTTCAAGCGAGCGACATCGTATTGGCTGTGTGTGATTAATGCCGGAGGCTCGCTCTGTTTTCAATCGGCGGCAGGCCGGCCGAGCTGGCGACCGACCTGGCGTGGCAGACCGGGCAGACGGAGCAGGCAGTCCATGCCGATTCGAATTCCTTTCGGCCAATGCGGAGGTCTGCGCGGGCTCTACGGATCCCCATCCCCCTGGCCTGATGAAAATTAATGTCGGTTTCACGGGCGAGCGGCGCAGTGGCGCAGGGTGCCCTCTTTTCCTTTTGGTCCTTTTGGTTCGGCCGGTCGGTGGGGCGGCAGATCCGGATACTCATCCCTCGAGCAGCCGCCGTGGCAAACTCGTTGCCGTCTGGGTTTGTTTTCCGAGCCCAAACTTTTTTCTTCCTTTCGCGAATACCCGACCGAGCGACCGCACAGCGGAAAATTGAACAAACCGACCCAGGGCTGCGACAAGCAGCCTTCATCTACTAGGGGCGCGAGGCAGTTCTCTGTGACTAGGCCGCTGTGTGTGTGTGTGTGTGTGTCCAGCCCACTGCCTCCTATTAACTACAGTCCGGCCGGCCTGACCAGGCATGACCCTCGGCGAACGCGACCTTCGCACGCAATTGCAGGTGGCAATCGCGCTGCAATCACGCAATCAGATCCTGCAATTTGACTTCGTTAATTGACCTGATTGTAAAAAAAGTAGGGCTGTGGAGGGTGACTTTACATATTCTGCACGTGGAGGAGGTGGGCGATCCAAAAACAACGACAACAACAATAGTCACCAAGGTTATTAAGTGGCCTGCTTTTTGGCAGTTATCACATTTATTCCTCTCAGCTACACTGCTTTTTTTCTTTCGAATTTCCATAAAAACAACTTAAGACAATAAATAAAAACTCAAGTCGAGAGCGGAGGTGAATTTCCTTCCGAGAAAAGGTTCAAAGTTTTTGAATGGACTGTGCGGCGTGGTACAAGAGTGACGTCCATTTTTCGTTTTTCCTCGCACACTTTTTGACCTTAACCGATGTTTAAATTTTCAGGACACACCGCGTCTTTACGAAACCGAAATCCCGGGCCACCTTGATTGGCTCCCCTTGACCTTTCTCGTCTCCCCGCTTCGAGGTATCGAAGAAGCACCGCGACTCTCGAGAGCCTCGGCCGACGACAGCGTCAGTTCATCGAGCAATACTTTATCACAATGGTCTCCCACGCTCAGGCATGGAAAATGCTTTGTACTTTGTTCATCTCACGACGGAAGTTGAGCAAGTTCACACCAAAGTTTGAGAAGCTCACAGTGGCTTCGGCGTGCGCACCTTTCACACAGGATTGGCTCAAGCCCAGCGCACCATGAACTCTCAAATCACATTTGGAGGAGTATTGCATTGTCTGAACATCATTCTAAAACAATCGTTCCCCGCATTTTTCACACTTTTCTTTCGACTGGAAACTTGCACGAAACCGGTCGTCAAAACCTCCAAAACAATCGTCAAACAACAATCCTTGGCAAAAATGTATGGCAAACCCAATGACAACCCTTCCCATCCTAAGCTGCAAATTGGCACAAACATGTCTGTTCTTAAAAATCAAAATAAAATCTTTAGATTAGTGACTAGCAGGCTAGAGGCAGTCCATTAATTACATAAGGCTATGGGTTCAGGAGTTAAATAATTTATTCTTTGGGAGGGAGAGGAGATTAGAGATCTTCTTCATTTTTAATGGAAAGGTCCCTGTTCCCCAAGGAGTTACGTAAATAATGGACCCTCCCTTACGCGGTGGGAGAAACTATGAAGAGGCGAGATCAGTCGCCTCTTGACTCACAATAACACGAGACAGAACAAAATAAGTCTTCATACCTTACAATTTGAACCGTAGTGAGACTACACAATTTCAAAGGTTCTACTCTGTTAAAAATGTAACGGGAATGTTTTCAGCTGAAATTTTTGAGTGCTATGTTACAAATAGTTTGTTCCACTCTTAGAGATATGGATGACCTCTATACTGGACGCGCCACCACGGCGGCATAAAGATTAAAATACTGTACACAATTTATTTTAAACTAACTACAGTATATTTTTTGGACACAACCTTGATGAATTCGTCCCGTTGAGACCTCACCCCAAACAAATAGATAAAGCCCACTAGAATAAAGACCTAAGACATAAGGGCTCAGGAAATCTGGTAGCACGACTAAAGTAGTAAGAAGACATAACTTTACCTCGAGTGTATTGTCCTGGGCTGCTCCGCCCAAAAGTGCTACACAATTTTTTTTCACTCTATAAAAACGTAACAAAACACGACGGACAAGCAAGGCGTTGGAGGGGCGGCGCACGCAGACCGCCCCTCCATGCGGCGTACCACTGTAAGAGCGTCCGTCTCACTCTGGCCGTCCGGATCACATCATGAAGCAACTCGGGAAACACCGGTTCACGAGCTTCTTGAAGGCGCGGCGGAAGTCGAGGTTGAAGATGGTGTAGATGATGGGGTTGAGGGCCGAGTTGATGTAGCCCAGCCACGTGATGAAGTTGATGAACTTGTCCGTGGGGCAGCACGACTCGCAGAAGGGCAGGATGACGTACATGAGGAAGAAGGGGAGCCAGCAGAACACGAAGACCCCCATGATGATGCCCAGCGTGCGCGCGGCGCGCCGCTCCTTGCTCAGGGAGATGCGCTGCTTCTCCTCGATGAACTGGAACACCTGCGTGGGCCTCTTGTTGACGGGGGCGGGCGCGGGGGTGGGGATGAGGACCACGCAGGCGGCGGGGGGCTCGGCGCCGTCCTGGTGGTCGTCCTTGGCGTCCTTGGCGTCCTCGGTGCGGCGCTGGCTCGAGTCCCTGGACCTGGTCTGGCTGCTCGTGCCCGTGGTGTTGGTGGCGCCCGAGTCCTCCGGCGGGCCCACGCCGCCCGCGCCGCCGGGGCACGGCGTCGGCACCAGCAGCTGGTTGGCCGTCACCTTGTTCTTGTCGTCCTTCCAGAACTTCTTCTTGTTCTTCTTGCGGCGCTTCTTGGTGTCGCGGCGGAAGCTGCCGCCGCTGCTGTGCTCGTTGTGGTTCGTCTCCGAGCTGACGGACTCCTGGTCCGCCTGGTTGCTCTTGCTGCGGTGGTAGTTGCTGTGGTTCTCCGAGGCGACGGTCTGCCGCACGGCGTTGAGCTTGGAGGCGCGCGCGCGGTCGCGCAGGCGGCGCTTGGTGGCGATGAAGATGCGCACGTAGACGCCGCTCATGATGACGAGCGGGATGTAGAAGGAGCCGAGCGACGAGTACACCACGTAGCCGCGCTGGGAGGTGAGCTGGCAGGGCGTGCTGGGCTCGAACACGTCAGGCCAGTCGTTCCAGCCGGCCAGCGGCGGCGAGCAGATGATGAAGGACAAGACCCACACGAAGGCGATCATGAGCAGCACGCGGCGGAGCGTGCGCTTCTGCGCGTAGTTGATGGGGTCCGTGATGGCCCAGTACCGGTCCAGGGCGATGGCGCACAGGTTCAGGATGGACGCCGTGCAGCACATGACGTCGCACGTCAGCCACATCTTGCACACCCACATGGGGAACACCCACTGGCCCAGGATGGCGTACATCACGTTCAGCGGCAGCACCAGGATGGCGACCGTGAGGTCGGCCACGGCCAGCGACACGATGAAGAAGTTCTGCACGATGCGCAGCGGCGTGTAGCTGAACACGCTGAGGATGACGAGCACGTTGCCCACCACCGTCACGATGATGATGGACAGCAGCGTGACGGCCGTGAGCACCGCCTCCCACTCGGGCACGGCCAGGTCCACGTCGAACAGGTGGCTGCGGTAGCGGACCGCCACCACCTCGGGGCAGCCGGGCGCCTCCACCATCAGGACGTCGGACGCGTTGGTGGCGTTCACCACGTCGGGCGGCGCCGACGCCGTGGCGCCCGTCAGCACCATGTCGTCCAGGTGGTCGAACCACTCCATGGTCAGGCCTGCAACAAGCAACACGGTCGCCGTCAGTCACTTCCAGTGTCAAGGAACAAAGAGTAACAATGCAGCGGGGCCCTTATCGTAGCATTTTTTTGTGCGGCCACACCGAGGAAACAGCGAGCGAAAGAGAAACTTGTTGCGGCAAAAGGAACAGCAAGACGGCGGCGCGCCGCGACAACCGCCCCGTGTCGCTGCCGTCGTTTCGCTTCAATGCCTCCACTGTAGCCTTGCCAGCCTCGCCAGCCTCGCCTCCACCGCCGATGCCTATCTAGCGACGCTGCGCTGTAAATGGGCCCTCCACTGCGAATTATTCGAACGAACCCGATTTCGGGCTTCGCGTGCGGCCCCGAGGGTGCGCGGCGCACTGCGCGCCGAGCCTCAAAGTAAGAGTGCTGCCTCATTACGAGCATTCACAGCGGGTCGGCATTTATTTGGTAACAACCACTCGGCGGGCCATGCAGGGATCCGTCTCTCTCGCACCCCAACGCAACGGTACGTGAGTGCGAGGGAGACAGAGCGCGACGTGTTTCGGTGTCCGCGCGCTCTGGGCCAGCGGGGCCGGCCTTCGGGCCCCCTCCGCGTTGCATGCACTCGGCTCGTCAGAGAGTGTCCCAGTGTTCCGGGGCCGCGGACCGGGCGTGGGCAGGTGGGTAGTTACAGCGCAAACTAGTTATTTGGTTGCCTTCGATCCCGGGGAAGGGGCCACCCGGCGCGCCCCACCCGCTCACTCCACCTGGGACCGGACTGGGCACTGCGCTGATGAAATTAATATGCGCAGCACCGCTCTTCTGACGCTGGTCAGGGAGGGCGGTCAGACAGACAGACAGACAGACAGACAGACAGACAGACAGACAGACAGACAGACAGACAGACAGACAGACAGAACGCCGAAAAGACGAGGCAGTCAGGCAGCAAGGTAAGCACCGCTTCACGTGGACATTACTGCCTTTCCTTTGCTGCTTACTCTTCTCTGCCTCTGCCGACCGACTCCTGAGAGTGCCGCTCGCTCTCGCTCTGTCGCACTTGCCGGGTTTCGATGGAGCGAGAGTGACAGAGCGACGAAACGACTTTCCGGAATCGCGGCAAAAAAAATGATACGTCGGGGGTGGGCTAAGTGACGGGCTGAAAGGAAGCGCGGAGGCCTGGTTCGGGCACACTGCAAACATGGCCGGCCCGGCCGTGTGTGCAGAGAGAGAGAGAGAGAGAGAGAGAGAGAGAGAGAGAGAGAGAGAGAGAGAGAGAGAGAGAGAGAGAGAGAGAGAGAGAGAGAGAGAGAGAGAGAGAGAAGGAAGAACGAACAGCCCAGCGTACTACTTGTGGCGGGCCACGGAGACAAGAGTGTTTGCATCCGCCCCCCTTCCCCCCGAGTATTTGTCCGAGGAAGCTATGCAGAGCTTGTGTGAGGTGAGGACGGGTGAGGATCGACAAGTGTGGCGGGAATTGTTGGCACATAGTTCCCGGCCGCACGCAGCGCCCCCGGGGCGCCCCGCGGGCAGTTGCTGCAGCACACGGAGAAAATTAGAAAACAACATTATTTTTGATTTCTCAATTTTTATTTTTCAAGGGCAACATGTTTGCAAAAAGAGAACAGGGTTTTTGAAAAGCGATTGATGAGTGGGCTGTGATTCCGTGGCGCGGCACGGCACGGCGCGGCTCTGCCCGGCCCTTTGTGCATGCGCTCAAAGCTAATGTATGCAGGGACCGCGGCGGCCCGGCCCTCGTGGAGGCCCTCGTAGAGGCCCTTATGGCGGCCCTCAGCCCTCGGCCCGTCAGGGAGCATTGTGCACCAAGGTCAAGCATTGCGTGCGACGGGGCGAGGCGAGGCGAGGCGAACACCGCGGTCTTGGAGGCGGTCGCCCCGCTGGCCGCGCCCTGCCGCCCTGCGCTGCGCACCGCGACAGCGGCGACAGCCACGTGGCCGTCGAAGCTTGAAACGGCACGTGCACTGGGCGGGACACTCAGGACACTCAGAATCGGAATCCGAGCGACGCGTTTTGAGATCCGGAGTCGTTAAATGGGACTCGAACCAAACGTGTGACCCCACCAATGGCTTCCTCGCCAAACGAGGAGTCCATTGGTGGGGTCACACGATCGGTCCGAGTCCTATTTAGCGACCCTGGAGCTCAAAACGCGTCCAGGATTTGGGCCGCCCCCACCGGTCCTCTGGCCCACTGCGAGGCGGTCCAGGCGGCCCAGGCCCTGATTGGACTCTGGCCGCCCCCTCGTTAGCCCTTCGCGCGTCGTCAGCGCGGCCGGCGCGGCACTCCAAGGGCCGCGCTCGGGAAGCGCTGGCTAAATGTCAATGAGTACGACCCGGTCACGTGTGCATGCGCGGCTGATTTCACCGCCGGCGTCTCTCTCGCACTCGTTGGGTGTCCCCGCGGGTGTGAGAGAGGCAGCCTGCCTCGACACTCTTTGCCACGTTTCCGTGCGTGCCAGTCCCCACTGCCGCGCCGCCGCGCCGTAATGCGAACATTTGGTGGAAGTAGTTCCGATCACGAACGGCCACGGCGGCGCCACTGGCAGCAGCGGGGACTTGCGCGGAAAAGCGGCGGGCATTCGCTTTCTATCAGTGGCGGCGCCAAGGCTGGCAGGGCTGGCTTCGCCAAGGCCGAGCCGAGCCGCGCGGCGTGCAAACGCGACGGCCAGTCAAAAGGCGGCAACGTGCAGCCTGACTAATCCCGCCTGAGCCGATTAGAAAGAGAGAGAGAGAGAGAGCCGAGCCAGCACGGCCAGAGTGACAGACAGAGAGAGAGGGAGAGAGAGACCCTTCCGCCAATATTAGCCGATCCGCGTCGAGTGGCGCGGCGTCTGCTGCCCGGCCGCGTCCTGGCGCACCGCGTCCAGAGGAGCGAGTCCGGGAAGGATCAGTGAGGCGTCGCGGGCTGAGGATCATCCCGGAGGATGAGGTGGATTATCATCCCGCGGGAAGGATCACGCGGTGGGACCAGCCGCTTCGTCGTGACGTGTGGCTGGATCGAAAGGCGTGTCTCACACCGGCACGCTCAAACAACGAAAAATAATTGTTTACGGTGGGGTGGTGTTCCAGAACGACCTTGCCTTCAGATATTGCAGCCGCGCCGTTGAGCTGGCAGGTAAGAGGCGTGGCTTTGCAGTTTTTCAGTGCAGTGTCGCCCCACCCCCGCACCACTCCCCCGCTGCCCCCTTTGCCGGGTGACTTCTCGCTGGCGTTCCCAGTGCCCTTCATCAGAGTCCACTTGAACCCCGTGATCACTCTTCTATCTCTCTCGCTCCCCAATTCTATCTCCGCCCCCTCGACTTCCCCTCGCCCACCCCCCTTCCCCCGAGCATTCCTGCCCCCGTTTTTTCTTTTCGGTCCGTTTTTTCCTAGCGGCCGGCCCTCCTCTCTTTCTCTCTCCGTCACACATAGCGAGTATTCCATTCTTGGCCCCGTCGGGCCCGCAATTATATTTTTCCCCGCCGCGGCAGTCCCCGCATACCAGCGCCGTTATTGGCGATGGCTGGATGCAGGGAGGAGGAGAAGCAGGGGAAGAACAAAGAGAAGTAAACTTACTAAGAGAAAAAGAAGTAATTGTCCTTTTTGCCACTGTATTTTTTATTTTATATTTTTATCCCGACTACGAAAAGGCGTTCTTTTTGTCAGCATCGCCTCAGCGCGGCGTCACTTTCTTCATATTACGCTCTTCCTTGAGCCCCCCTGCAATGAGGGTGCCCCCCCCCCGCGCTCGGGCTAACAATGCAGCAATTAGCTAGCAGCACAGATTGCACCGGCACATTCGCGCCGAAACTGTGCCGGCTGGAACGACGCGTCCTTGTAGGGCCCTGCGCCCTGCGCGTGTCGCGTCACTTTGCATCCCTTGGAAGTGGCGGGGCGGGGCTGAGCCCACCCTCCCCGTCCCAGAGACACTCCATCTCGCTCGGAGACGCACAATACGTCAAAGGTTGGCTCAATCTCGGCAACACAGTGTATGACATCCGCCTCCCTGGCACCTCATCGCGCGCCCGACGCCTCAGTCACTCACTCGCCTCTGATTGGCTGGAGCCTCCAGCGGTGTGGGGTGGGGGAGGGGGCAGGGGGAGGCATTCCCGTCAGAAATGAGGACCGCCACGATGCCCCCCCCCCCCTGGAAGACGTTCCCGGAAGACGATCCTGGAGGCCGCGCGGTCCAGCTCCCTGGCCGCGTCCAAGGCCAGGGCGGCCAGGGCGACCAGGCGACCAGCCCACAGAACGGTCGTTCCATCGGGCCGGTCGGGCTGCCCGGGTCGCCTCCAGGATCCGTCGCCAGGCTCAGAAGTGCTCTTAGCGGCCCCCCGCGACCCCCTGCCCCCCGAGCCCCACAGCGTCCTCGCCGCGTCCTCGCCGAGGTGGTGGCTGCCCCCCGGGACCGTGTCGTGCCTGTCGTCCTTCGCAGTGACCTGCAGGACGTGGCGCGGAACTCACCCAATTTCCTTCACATTTTTTCTATTGTTGTTTTCATTTTCATTTTATTTTAAAAACGCGAAAGGCCGACGGACGGGCCGTCGTGTCGTGATTTACGGAGCGTCGTGCCTACATTGTCATCATTCTTGCGGTGGGCTTGCGTGGGCCGCGTGCGTGACGCCGCGCCGTTAGCACAAAATCGGCGTCTTTTTTAAAAAGAAATTTGTAAAAGACACGCCAGCGTCGCGATGCGGCGTGTGCGCATCACCGGCACCAAAATAAAAAGTAAAAAAAAAGAAGATGAAAGCAAATGGTTGCTGCCGCGTGATCTCAAAGGAGATTCCCACCGCCCCCTTGACCGCGGCGCTCACGTCACGCGCCCTGGAACCCGAAAAAACGCCACCGCGGCCGGGGTAAGCTGAGACCGAAGCAGGCACGCAAAGCAGCAAGACAAGCAGCCAGGCAGGCAGGCAGCCAGGCAACCGCGACGCTCTTTTCAGGGGGTCCTCCGGCAATTGCGGGGAGCATGTTCAATTCGTCGAGTGCGTGAGCGCGCGGCGTGTGCTGTGTGTCTCTGTTTGTTTGTGTGTCTGTGTGTGT